CTAAATTGATAACATAAATGAAGATTTCCTATGCTCCCTTCCCTGATTTCTTGACAAAAAATATCCCAATTTCCCTGGGCTAACACAGATTACGCATCAGTTGATTTTGCCCTTGTGAAATACTGGTGCATTTATTGAGAACAGTGGGGATGCCTTCATGTCTTTCAAAAATGAAGAACATTCCTCTGATGCCTTTTTAACACAAAAGAATTCTCAAAAAAAACTCAAGGTGGCTTTGGGGCTGGTTCCAGAATGTGCTGAAGGCTGGGACCATGACTGCTTTTGGGAATTTCTAACAGCAAGTGTTTCCAGCTGAACTGGCCACAGATCAGGTCCCTGGCTAATGGGATGTGACAGTGAGTGCTGCTGCAAATGGCAGCAGCTTTGGGGAGGGGTGGCAGCATCCCTCAGCTGCATGGGGATGCATGGGGTGAGGGAGGAGGGCTTATCACTGAGTTAAGGGTTCACCTACTGCTTTGCCATCCCATCCATCCAGCAGGTTTGTCCCGCCATGGTCAGGGTACAGCTGAATCCCAGGAGAGGACAGGACAAGCAACCACTGATCTGGTCCCAGCTGGGGCACCTGACACTACAGCCTCTCCCTGGCTCCCAAATTCCTGGTTTGGCATCAGTGCCAGAAATGATCCAGAGCAAGCAACTGCCATGCTCCCGCTCACCCTGGTCATGCTCCTTGGGTGTCCTGAGGACATTGTCAAGGCCACTGTCACTGGCCACTCTCTTCCTGATGTGCATCACTAATGAGATGGTGCCATGCTGAGTGCTGGGGATGGAGCTCAGGTAGGAGCACTTGATCCTTCTCTCAGCTTTCCAGCATGATCTGGCCACCACAGCACTCAAAACCTCTCAAAGAGGGATATAAATACCCCATTGAAAGCACTGGGGCTGTCTTGGTGTTTTTCTCCCCATTGGCTCATCCTCACTGGTATCTGCTGTGTGTGGAGTGGCTTTTCCCTGCCTCTGTACATTGGTGAAACATCACTGACAGTCTGAAAACGCTGGGGGGGACGGACATGCTGGGGCCCTGGGGCTGAGCTGGGGTGGCTGAACCCTCAGATATGTGGATGGCCAAGTCTTTGTCACCAAGGTGCTCCTGAGAGCCAGGTGGAGGTGGACAAGGTGGTGCTGGCTGGTGACATCCTTGACAAGATCAATGGCTGCTCACTGAGAAACGCCTACAGCAGGCAGGTGGGTGGGCATGGGGAGCTGTTGCATCCCCCCTCTCCTGCCCCTCATCCACCCTGCTGCTTCACCCACCCTCCCTCCAGGCTGGGGCCATGTTTGCAGAAGCTGAAGAGACAAACACTCAGCTTCCACTTGCTGTGGTGGTGGGGGCACAACACAGAGGTCTCCAAGCTGCTGCTGCTGCGCACCTGAAGGTCCTGAAGGAGAAGGTGCCTCACTTTTAGCTCCAGCACAGCCCCAGCACAGGGATGAGGGGCAGCTGCGGAGGCTGCAGTGGGCCAGGAGATCCTGCTCCCTGGGGAGCCACTGGGCTGGGCTGTGGTCCAGGCATCAGGGCAGCCTTGTGCCTGCACTCTCCCCAGTCTCTGCAGACCTGGACCAGACCAGCATTGGGAAGATGAGGCAATGGATCAGAGACATGCCTGAAACTGCCTCTTCAGGGTTTCTTTTCACGTGCCTGTGGATTATTCCCTCCCTGCCACTCTATTTCAGTATGGTGGCAAAGAGGTGTTGGCCTCGGCCTGGAGAAACAGCAGGCAGCAAGGGTGAGTGTCAGGGCTGGGTCATCCCAGGAAGGGCCTGGTGAGAGAACTGCAGGGAAATATGGTCTCTGCCTGGGATTTTTTGGCCTCCCAGCTCCAGCTTCACTTGGCCTGGGTGGGTATTTGACACCTCCACCTGTGGGGTTTTTTTCCTCTTTAGAAGCATCTCTGCAGCCAGGGCAGGAATTTCACTAAGGAAGAAAAATAAAATCACTGGCCAGGAGCACTTGGAAAACTGTGGGGAGGCTAAACCTGCTTCCAGGGGCGCTTTAGGGCTCAGGTCACTGTTGCTTGAGGCTCTGGGCAGGGGAGGTTGTTTGCAAAATGATTCAAGTGTGGGAGCACTGGGTGATGGAAAAAAAGGGCATCGTGTAAAAAACTCTTGTGCTTGACTGTGCTTCATCTCCTCTGCTTTTGCATAATGTCTCTCTTGTAAGTGTCTTATTAAAATCAGACCTCAGACACTGCGATGATCACGGCTTCTTCACCTCTGTCCCCCATTCAGAAAGTTTTATTTGATGTGAAGGAAGCAGAAGTCCTCATACAGGAACAGACTTCTTCCAAGGTAAGCGAGTAACACCCAAGGTCTGGGTGACTCCTGAGGCAGTGTGGGGATCCTGGCCAGAGTGGTCGTGGGGCCAGTTTAAACCAGGGTTGGGAACAACAGGGACTGAGGGCAGCCTTGGCTCCCTCCTGTCCCTGATGCAGCTCCTGCACTGTTGCCCCTACCCCACCATCTCCTGTATGGGACAGCAGCAAGTTATTTGCCTTCTGCATGGTGTAGGTTTTGCCTGTGGGCCATGGGAGGGTGGATATAGAGTGATGTGGGTCTTGGAAAACAAACCAGTGATGTCCAGGCCAGCTGCGGGGTCTCTGGTGTGGTTCCAAGCTGGGGCTGGGCTTTCAGAGCCATGCTTGCGGCCAGCTTATGGACATGTTTCCATTCTTAGTGCTTCCCTGGAGAGCCCTGATGGGAGCACATTGACGGCCTGCTGTTTGCATCAACTTCTGAACAAGAATACAAGGAAATCGTCAAGAGAATCAGTTAAGATATCACCACAGTGAGGTCATGTAATACCACGAATTGCTGCTCTGGTCCACCACGGGCAAAATGTAACAATTCTTTTTTGTTGAGGGTACCAAGATGAATAGTGTTTTGATGTAGTTTTCTGGTGGGTTTTAGTTTTTGTTGTTGTTTTGGGATTTTTTGTTTTTTATTTTTTTTTTAAGAACTGGCAGAAAATGATTTTATTTTAAGAAACAGCTTCTGGGCATACCCGGATGGTTCATTGTTTCCACTGAGAATTTGGAGGAAACATTGTTTTCGAGGGATGTGATTTTAAAACATACTTTTCCTGCAGGAGCCCAGCCTGCTACTACAGATCAACACCAAATCAAACCTTTGTAAATCCTGTTGCTTGGAATTCTGATTTTTTTAACCTGCCTAAATGCCAGCTGCAATGACTTGCAAGGGTTCTTTCGCGGACATCCCTGCCCGATGTAGCTTGCTCAGCGTCAGCTATGGTGTGGGCTGGTGCTTAACTTTGATCCAGGCCTTTAAAGCAATTCAGTTTACAATGTCATAGAATCATAGAATGGTTTGGGTTGGAAAGGACCTTAAGAGCATCCAGTTCCAACCCCCCCACTATGGGCAGGGACACCTTCCACTAGAGCAGCTTGCTCCAAGCCCCTGTGTCCAACCTGGCCTTGAACACTGCCAGGGATGGGGCAGGCACAGCTTGTCTGGGCACCCTGTGCCAGCGCCTCAGCACCCTCACAGGGAAGATCTTCTTCCATATGACTAATCTCAATCTCCCCTGTTTAAATTTGAACCTATTACCCCTTGTCCTATCACCACAGTCCCTGATTAAGAATCCCTCTCTGGCATTCAATGTAAATGCAAGGAAATCTTTTTTTCCTTGCATGTTTAGCAGTGAGGAAACCATTTGTTTACAAAAGATGTTTTCAGCAGCGCTGTGGTAGATAAGGATGGTGTTAACAGTGTGTTAACTGCATGTTCCTCCCACATTTGGAGTGGCATAGTGCAGGAAAGGGCATAGGTGAGGTTGTGTAGGGGCCACAGGATGGGAAGTGCCTGTTCCTCTACCTGCAGGTTTTGAGCACACAGAGTGGTTTGTCTTATCAGGGAGAGCCCCGGTTACAGCCCTAAGCTCCCCTGGCTCCTGTGGCCCAGCCTCTGCCAGCAGCACCCCAAGTGCCAGAGTCAGGGCTGTTTTCCAACCACCCTTTGGACGGAAAGCAGCACTGTGACCAGGCTGGCCTGCACACAATCACACAGGGATGGTGCCAACTGACCACCCACTCTTGTGTAACTTATCACTGCTGCCACTTCGGCTATTGCACTTTTTGTTTCATGACAATAAATCCAGATGAGCTAGCCCAACTGCTTCCTTCCCCTGTGCCAACTCCAGCCTTACTAGTGCCGCCTGATCCTAAAGAACTGAGGAGAGCCAGACTTGAAGTTTAATTTAAATGTTAATTACCCGTCTTCCCAGATGTAGTCTGAGCAGCTTTCTTCCACCACCACCTAACACAGTATAGCTGTTCCCAGAAGCACTGTGCTGGGAAAACCAGACCTGCCTTGGCAGAGCCCAAAGAGCTAGAGCAAAGGGTTGAGTTTAATCCTCTTTCATCAAAAAAGCTTAGACAGGAAATGAGAATCTTACATGCCCATCCCAGTTTGCCCAGCAGCCCATAGGCTCCCAGGTTGTGTAATTAGCTTTTCCCCTTGCAGGCCATCCATGCTAGCTGCTGTCATTATCTAGGGTTTAGTCACACAGCTGGATCCCACAGAACTGTCAGGCTGCAGCCACGCACCCAGCACCAGGAAGCTGCAAGGTTCACCCTAGGCAGCCCAGTTCACAGCACCATAAAAAACCTCCCTGGCATCTACAGAAAAGGAGGGAAAAAAAAAAAAAAAGCTCAATCCTGGAATTGGGCCTGAACTGCTGACCCACACTCAAGCTTTGTAAAACCCCCAGCAATCCCCTAAAGGCTGCCTGGCATGATCCTGCCAGTGCAGCCATTCCCCCTTCTACCCCCTCCCTAGCCAAGAGCCACAGCTCAAGCCACAGTAAAACCTCCAAACCCCTCTGAGGGCAGCAGGCAGACAAAATTAAGTTATGGGAGCAGCAGTGCAGAATTACAAGCGCCTACTGCAACATGCCAGAGCCAGGAGGAGCAGAAGGCAGCTTTTTCAAGCCCAGACAAACCAAATGACAAAGACTCCTCACATGTGAATGTAAAACATTTAATTTAAAAATGTTGACACTACAATATATAAAATAGCTATTATAAATGCACATAGTGTATTCTATAGCTGCCAGGTTTACTTTTTTTTTTTTTAGGAAACTGTAAGTTACACTGTGGTTAAGACTTGTAGTTTCACCCTCTGAAGAAGTCCACATTTGATCACAGTGATGTATGGTCAGACTAACAGCCCCAATTGTTAAACACTTGGATCAAGTCATAACCAGTTTTATTGCAAAAGGACCCTGTACACATTTGTATCAATTCTAGTACCTTACAAGTTTAGCTACCCAACAAGTCATTAACATACAGAAACATGCATGAGAAGCAAGATAAGATCACCCATCCCTTCTGCATATTAGCAACTTGTCACTCCGGAGCCACATGGCTCGCATCACTGAGGTTTATGTGAACAGTCACTTTTAGCATTCATCCTGAGTGAAAGATGGAATGACTTAAGTACAAATGCAACATATTATAAACAATTTCTTACAAAAAAAAAAAGTCACAAATTAAAACCAAAGTATTTTACAGAATTTACTACAAAACACCATAAAAACAGCCTTCACTTAAGCCCTCTCCCCCCGTATCCTGCGAGCCAACTGGATATCTTTGGGCATGATGGTGACTCTCTTGGCGTGGATGGCACACAGGTTTGTATCTTCAAAGAGACCCACCAGATACGCTTCGCTGGCCTCCTGTTTCAAGAGGACAAGAAGAAACGTCGTTAGAACCGCCCAGGGAGGCACACTCAGCACCGCGGCCCCACAGGCCACCAGCAGTACCTGCAGTGCACCGATGGCTGCACTCTGGAACCTCAAGTCCGTTTTGAAATCTTGGGCGATTTCCCTGACCAGTCGCTGGAAGGGCAGCTTGCGGATCAGCAGCTCCGTGGACTTCTGATAGCGTCGGATCTCACGGAGAGCTACGGTGCCCGGCCTAAAGAACAGAGGGAGCGGGTGAGCCGGGGCAGGGGCCGCGGTACCGCTGGGCCGTGCCGCGCCGGCGGCCTTACCTGTAGCGATGAGGCTTCTTGACGCCGCCGGTAGAGGGGGCGCTTTTCCGGGCCGCCTTGGTGGCGAGCTGCTTTCGCGGAGCCTTCCCCCCGGTGGACTTGCGGGCGGTCTGCTTCGTACGAGCCATTTCTCTTCACTCACCTACAGACACAACCCCGCTTGACACAGAGCCCGTCTCACCGCGGTCAGGCCCAGCACACAGCGGCCCGCTCCCAGCCCCCCCTAGCCCGCCCGTCCAATCCCCTAGAGTCCCGGCAGCGGCAGATGTTGGCGAGCTGCCCCCTCCCCCGCCACCAAGGCGGGCAGGCAGCCAGCAGCGTCCCCAGGGATGAGAGAAGTTACGGTTCCTCCGCCTCCGCGGGCCGGCTGCTCCCCGCCCCAGAGTAAGAGGAATGAGTCACGCCACCCCCCGCTTCCTCCTGGGCGGCCGGGGGGGGGGAAGATGGGCACTGGCCGTGACTCGGGGCACGTAGGCAAGGCCCAGCCTGCTGCCCAGCTCCGAGAAGCACCATGACCGCCAGCGGCCCCACGGCACTGCCGCCCACCACGGAACGCACCCGCCGCTTACCGCTCCGAGAAGAAAGCGCCGGTGACGGTCGCGCTGCGCACCGAAGCCTGTACCGGTAATATCACAAACCGCTCCGCAGCTGAACACCCCCACACTGAGCCCGCTCCACCGCCGAGACTCACGTCTTATACCGGGGGCGGCACACGGCGCGGTGACCTCACAATGCCTGGAAGCAGCGCGCCTTGCCATTGGCCGGGACCTCCGCCGGCGCGGTGGCGTAACGACACACAAAGGCCGTGCTCCGGTTCCTCGGCGCTGATTGGGTGCATGCTCCGCCGCTGATTGGTTGTTAAAGTAGCTGTTTGATTGGGTACTGTGAGGAGAGAAGAGGCCAATCGTCGGCGGGTGTGCGCTCTGCGCGTTGATTGGACAAAACGGGGCAGGATTTGGATCCTACCCTTTGTTGCAAAGCTCCACAATGAGAAGTCAATAGGAGCGGGCGAGGGGCGGGTGGCGCCTGCTTCGGGACCCGCTTCGCGGCCCCGGAATCCTCCCCGCCGGTGCCCGGACCCTCGCCTCGCCACATAAGCGCCTTTCTCGGCGTATAGGCGCCTGGCGGGGCGTCGCGGGGCCGCCCGGAGGGGCGGTGGGTGCTGTGACCCACTCTGGGATCCGCGGCGCTCAGGCCGCGGAGAGCAGCGGCCTTTGGGAAAACTGCGGGAGGCTCCGCTTTGTAGCGACTCGCATGGGGCCTGCGACCTCCCCCCCCCCCCCCCGCCGCGCTTCTTGAGCGTCGGTGGGGGGTGAGCAAAGCTCCGTCGGAGGGAGTGGGCTCTGTCAGCGGCTCTGTGTCTCCCGCCCGGTTGTGGCAGCCTGGGGATGCGTGTTTGGGACTTAGGTTAGTGCTGGGCTGCCCCGCGAGTCTGTGACCCCTGCCAAAAGCTGGGGGGAGCCCAGCTGTTGGCCTGGGAAAGTCTGCCACGGCCGGGAGCCTGGCCTGGGCAGTGGCTGGGGTCAGAGCTCTGTCATTCTGCACCTCTGCTCACCAGCTCCCACCAGCTTCAGGGTTGCCTTCACTGCTTAAGCCAACTGCAAAGTCTCATTGGAAGTAGAAAGCGAGTCCATGTTCTCTGTTGGTACCATCTAGGAAGATAAAAGGCAATTGTCTCGGGGGGCGGGGGGGGGAAGTTGTTGCTTAAGTTTGACCTCACACTTGAAGCAACTGTGGAGGCAGGTCCTGCCCCCCGCAGGATGGTAGCCACAATCAGGAAGAACAGGTCCCAGATGTCCTGCAGTTGTAGCACGCGGAACGTGGAGTGAACACAAACAAGTCACTTGCTCAACCATCACTCCCAAAGGCGTCAGTGAGCTCCGTGAACTGGAGTGTGGCCATTGTCACACAGCCTTTCCATGAGGTTTTGCATCCTCCCCGGATGTGTGAGTTCCCTGGAGCCAGTTCCCAGGCAAGCAAGGATTGCCGCAGTGCAAGAGCTCAGCACATAGGGAGCACATCTCTTGCTTCTCAGCCTCTCAGGTAAGTCAAGCAACTGTGCACCATCATGGTACGACAGGGCTGTCATGTGTGCCAGGCCAGGGCTGCTGGAGGATGCTCTGGCACATCCCCCCTGCTTCTGGTCCTTGTTTGTCCAGTTAATTCTCAGTGTTGTAAAGGAAAATGTGAATTATTTCTCAGAGATAAAAAGCTGCCTGTTGGTGGAATGGCTTGGGAGCTGGATGTGAGTAATCATTTGCATTGTATGTGTTTTAGAAAATAAGAAGCAAAGAATTCCCTTCATCTGAGCCATTGGTGCTTAGGAAAAAGAAATTTAGGAACTGGTTCTGATGCTACCAGTATACCAAAAATTAAATTAAATTCATTATTTTTAAGAGCGTTCTCTGCTGTCACTGACACTAGAAGAATGGTGCATAGTGTTTGTTACCAGTTGCTCCTTAGATATTTCCTGTGTTTTCACAGCAATGGCTGCTTCCTATTCTTATTTTAGAGATAGTTTAGATTAGTCTCTCTTGGAGACTGGAGGAAAGCTGTGCTGCAACCTCTCAGACGAAACAGGCTAAAGGAAAGGTGTACATGGAAATGCCAAAGCAAGGAAATGTCAGCGAAGACCTGTGTGAAGATGGAAGCCAATGCACCCAGGGCACATGTTCCCAGAACATTTTCCTGTTGCTCAGCAGAGCACGTGTTGGGTTGTCCCAACTGTGAAACAAAAGAGAAGTGGAAGAGGATTGTGGAATCAACATTGCTGAGGATTTGAGCCTTCAGTTTCTGAACCCGAGAGCATTGGCGGTGTTGTCAGTGCGATTTGTCCCTAATTAAAGTTTTTTTTCATCCAGTTCATTGCCGAATTGGATTTTGGGTATTCAGGTGTGCATGCGTAGATATTACCTGAAATACCTCTACACGTTATTAACTTACCAGAAGTTGTCCTACTTGACCAAGAGCTGCATAATTATAGAGCTCCAGCCTCCTGTGGGGGGTTGTTAGATGAGTAAAAACATATTGAGATCCTGTGAGTTATCTGAGCAAACACAAGGGAATAAATCACTAATTACCCCAGGAAAAGCCTGCCCACAGTAGCAGTGGAATCTGTGTAAATGGGAATTAAAAAAGTTATTTCCCCCCCAAACCAGCTGCACAGGCAGCACACAGATGGAAGTTTATTATTAACATTGTTCACCCCGTGCATGCTAGTGGAGTTAAAAAGAGGTGTTTGCCTTAGAAACCCTTGTTGCCCTTTACCACACAGCTAGAGGATTCCAGTGAGGGAACTGGTTCTGTGTGAAGCCCAAGAGATCAAAGTCCTATTAAAAGAAACTCGTATCATTTCCTCCCTCAGGAGAGAAGTTAATTTATGGAGGAAGCTCTTTGCATGGGAATTCAGCCGCTTCCGCAGACCTTCCTCCTTCAGGGTGGGGGGATTTTCTCCTGGGGGAGGGCAGAGACCCTGTGCGATCTTCTGATGACACAGCAGCCAGGGGTCTTTGGTGTCACCTACTCAGAGGTAGGTTCTCCACACAGCTCGTTGGGTCCTCCTCCTCCTTCTCTTCCTTCTCCTCGGGACTGGGCACTTCCTGGCCGGTGTTGTCCAGTGGGTGGGGAAGGCCGTGGAGCAATGAGAGAAGTCAACACTAAAATAACCCTTTGGCTGGGACACCGCACTCCCGGTCCACACTCAGTCCCTGTGGTAGGGGAAGGAAGGAAGTGAGGCCACTTGCCACAAATAATTCCCCAGCCTCCTCCACAGCCTTTCATGCCTGCCTGGAGGCGCTGGGCTGGGAGGGCCGTGATGGCGCTCGGTGCTGTCCCGGGGCTCGGTGGCCGCTCCTTGGGGACAGTCCTGCTGATGGAGCCTCACAAAGAGCGCGATCCTGCCCCACCGCTGGGGGGCGTCCTGGCGCGCTGCCCGCGCCCCCTCAGACCACAAGTCCCGTCGTGCCCCGCGCGGCCGGAAGCACGGCCCGCGCCGCCGATGGGCGCCTCTGGGAGTTGTGGTCCCGCCGCCCGGAAGCCGCCGCCTGCCACGTCCCGGGTTGGCGGAGCGCGGGCGCGCGCCGGGACTACAAGTCCCACCCCACCCCGCGCACCGGGGCGGCAATGGCGGTGGCGGTTTTTGCGCCTGCGCGCGGCGCCCTCCGTGCGGACCGCGCAGAGTGAATAATAAAGGTCTGCTCGGCGGCGGCGGAAGGCCGGAGGCATGTCCAAGGGCCCGGTGGCGAGCGGCCCCGCCGCGGCCGGCCCGGCGAGCGCCGCTAGCGCGCTGCAGGCGCAGCCCGAGAAGCCGCAGCACTACACGTACGTAGCGGAGCTCCCCGCCGCCCGCCCGCGCGCCAACACGCGCCTGACGTCAGCGGGCGGCGTGCGGCACGCGCGCACGGAGACCCGCCGACAGCCCGCGCGGCACCGGCTGGAACCGGCCCCAACCGGCCGGCGAGGGGGGGGGGGAGGGGCGGGGCGCGGGTTGAGCGGTTCCCCCTCCCCCCGCGGGTGACGCTCCGGGGCTCCGGCAGCTCGGCCCGACCTGGGGCTCGTGGGGGCCCGGCCCCTGTGGCCGCCATCGCAGGCCGGCCCCGCCGCCGCCGCCCCCTTGACCGCTACCCGCACACCGTGGTAGTGGCACTTTCTCCCGGCCCACGCGGGTGTTTTCTCGGGTGTGGAGGTGCCAGGCATTAAGGGGTGTTGGGGTTTGCGTATCCTCGTGCCGTTGCCCCGGTCCTCGGTTCCCGGAGGAGTCCGGGTTGTCCTCAGGTGTCTGCAGAGGGAGGGGGCAGTGTGAGAAGGCCGGTGCTGCCCTTTGGCTCCCAGGGGCCGAGCCCCGCTCCCTGTGAGGGACGGCTCCAGTGGATCCGTCCCCAGGGTGGGCATACTTCCACGCCTCACATGCCTGTGAGAAATGTCCTCCGTGGGGAACATTACATGAAAATCCTGGGAAGTGCATGTCCTGTTCTCACGTTTCCTCACACTGCTTCTGTGTGACTCTATGGTGGAGGAAACACAAGTTGGTGTGTGTTGCCTCTGTTGCTGGAGATAGTGCCTCCATGAAGGCTTGTTCCTGGGATGTGTCTTCCCTAAACAAAAAACAGAATTTCACTGTGTTGTACTAGAGGTGCACGACCTCCTGGAACTTGTGCTGTATGTGCTTGGCTTGCAAATACTTCTTTGGGTTGGAAGTAGTGGTGGTGATGCTTGGTTCTTCTTTTGCACTAGGGATAGAGGGTGGTTTGGGAGTGAGTGTCATCTTTGTGAGGATGGGCTAGTGAGGGACATGGGTGGAAATAGGTCAGGTGTTCCCTGCCCTTAAAAGAAAAAAGTTTGGGACTGTTCCTTATGAACAAAATGCATGTGCCAAGCTATCTTCCCTTATCGCTTTAGGGTGTTGTCCACATACAGAAAAAATGTACAAATTACCCGTATCTCCTGCTGGTGTTGATGCCCCCACCCAAAATGAGAAGGGCAGGTTCTGAGTGCAGTTTGGGTTGCTTTAGTTTGTGTTTTCCTAAAGTTGCTGATGGATTTCTTCCCTGTTTCCACATTATAGCTCATGGAATAAGGAGAGCTTCAGAGGCATCTATCTGTATAACCAGTGCAGGGATCACAGGCTATATGACATCCTCTTCCTTCAGGCTGTCCAGAATAGTGAGTCTGTGACAGAATGAGGGCTTCTAGGTTCTATGTCCATCATAAA